ATGATTAAGAACTCCATTTTTTTTTAATTTTTTTCAAAAATATTGAATTTTTTTAAAAAAACTTTTTATCAAACTATACACTGTTAAATATAATTTTAAGAAATACAACAACGTGTATTTATTAAAATACAGAACTGTAAAGACAAAATTTTTGAAAAGCGGTCAAAAGCATGCTAAAGTATAAGTTTCAAGCTTTAAAATGTTTTTTTATTTTTTTGTCGATGATTTTTTACCGATTTACGATAACCTGAATATTATGAAATTTTAAGTTCCATCTGGAAACCTTTCGACGATAGTATACATAAGTTGGAACCGAAATTATAACCGGAGCCAATTATATATATATATTAGGTGTGGGAAAAAGTTCGTGGCGTTTTTCCCATTAGATGGCATTAAAAAAACACCACGAACTTTTTCCCACACCTAATATATATATATTTTTTTTAATATAAAAAACTATGAATATAATTATTATTATTAACATTATTATATAACAGTAATAAAAACATGGAGCACTTAATTATTATTTGATCATATAATTATAGTCGCAAAAAAAACTTTTCTCTCAGTGTGTGCAAACCAAATTTTTTGTGTTATCACGACAGTAGGAGCGCATGGAATCGCAGCTACTGCGTAGAAAGACGCGTCTGGCAAAGTAGACGACCGTGTATCGTGCCAGGAAGGGGAAAATAAAAAAGGAGGCTATGCACGAGATGAAGAAGGACTCGCCATATGTACGACGCGTCGCGATTCGCGATTTCCCTCTATCATGATCCTCGAAGACTATCCCGAGAGTGCATGGCATTTGCGAATCGCTACCATGCGTCTTTCCCGCTGGTTATGTTGATAGTATCATTCGCGAACATAATCTTCAACCGCGCGACAAAAAGTCGACGTCAACGTCAACGAAGACAACGGGGAGGCATGTTGTAATTAAACAAGGTATTGTATTTCCAAAGATGAGGACCCAACAAACGAAAATGGATTGAAATGAATTGAAATGGATTCAGATTTTCAGAAATATTGATTCACGAATGTTAAAATAAATGCTTTTCCATCCTGAATGCATTTTCATTCATTTAGGAATTGCATGGAGCGTGTCTCTATGCCTTTCAATCTAAAAATAATATTAGCTTTTTCTATGCATTGGGAACACTGTTCAATTCAAAATTTTGAATTAGAAATGCAGTTCTTCAATCCAATTGCATTCAATTGAATCTAATTAAATCCAATTGAATTCAATTAAATCCAAAAAAAGTATTCACTATTTAAAATATGCATTCGGATAGAAAAAAATTTTAATCCATTTGCTGGGCAATAAAAAAATGGCGTCCGCACGTTTCGGTCCTAAATGCTAACATTAATATAATGTTCAATGATTTAATTATATTTTTTCGATTTTTTATTTGATATTTGTATATCGTAATGAACAACTTAAAAAAAAGTATTAAGGACCAATTAACATTTAGAATTGATTAGCACATTTAGAATCTAATTGATCGTACCATTATATCATGCACAATATAACACTTCGTCTGATTCCATTATGTCATCGAGGGGCGAGTGCGAAATCTGAAATCGAGAGGAAAACAAGCGGCGCTCATATATATGTTGTGCATACAGCCGCAACGAAAACAAAGCGAAAAAAGATCGCTGACGAAGAGATATCGTAGACGAGACAACCCCATAACCGCTAACATTGTGCTTGCATACCGCCGCGTGCGATCGATCATGCCAGTCTGCACAGTGTGTTTTCTTCAAGCTGCATTTAAGATGTGATGCAGTTTTCACAATGTGAGAAAAGCGCCAGAGGACGACCGGCCTGATGGTAGATTGCACGCGCGAATTGCCAACGCGGTTTACGCAGTTCGAATCAAAAAAGTTCGAAGATTCCGAGTTCAATTTTTAGGAGTTCCATTCGCAACTACAAGCAAACTGAGATTATGTTCCATTAGATAGATGCGATTTTTCGATATATCTTAAGCATCGCGATTTTTTTTTCTTGAATCATAGTGCGATATATAACTGGCTTTTTTAATCACGTCGATGCGATTAATATTCTGTACTTGTTCTTTAATTCTTTTAAATTATGCAAACAATTCAACTAACGCACAACAAAAACTGATACAATTTTTTATTTTATAAAAGGTTCTTTTTTTGTGAATACATAATGTATAATGAATTTTATTAGAGATTTTTCAATGCTATTATCATTAAAAAACAAATGCTTTCATATTTGCTGCATTCTAATAAGGCTGGTATTCATAATCGATTCTTATTTCAAGATTGTCTTAAGTAATGTTTTATAACTATTTCATTCGCTAATGCGGCTCTCTGATTAGGGACATCTTAAGACTGAACTTAAGACGGTTTTAAGTTCAGAATATAAGAACTGATTATGAATATCGGCCTAAGAATTAATATTTTTTATTATTCAACTGTTATTGCTCTGAACTTACTACAACTCTTTAATAAATAATAAGTAAGCAGTCGAATAAATATATAATATACACATATGAAAATACATATAACATTCATTGTGATTTTAAAAAAAAATCGCAATTGCAATGCATAATTTTAAAAATCGCACATCCTTAGAACAATACACACTGCCTATACAGAAAATGTATAACATACGCAATGTAAACTATATAACTTAAGTTAGAAAAAGTTAAACCATTCATTTTTCAGTTACTTCAACATGTTACTTAATTCATAACGAAATTCCTTATAATTTATATTTTCAGTTTTGACAATAGTTAGAAATCTTGAATTTTAAGTATCATGTAAAGGAAGCTTGGTTATACACGAAATTAAAAGTAATGAATGATTATGTAACTGAAAACTATTATATAAAAACTATTATATATTAGTTTTATACTAGTAGTTTTATGGTAATAACTCAAATTTAAAACACTAGTCTTAAATATAATGAACGTGTGCATTAAAATTAATGAATATAATATTATAGAAATCAATTTACGCGTTAATAAAGTGTAAGAGATCTGTCACTGAAAATTAATTTACATGTTAATGAAATGTAAGAAACGTAAATTAAACGTTAAGCATTAACGTATTATAGGATTAATTTAAATATTATTAATATAAGTAAACGTGAAAGTACATTAAATTTTAATATACGTTTACCTTTAAGTTATTACAAATTTAAATTTCATTAATATGTACATTAATAGATTCTTCTCAGTTATATAGAATTTGAATTTCATTCACCAGTGTACATTAATAGTTAATTATTAAATAAAAAACATTTCAATTTAAAAACAATGTATTGGAACACAGCCTAATAAATATAAAATCCATTGTGTATAGAATCACTGTGAAAAATTTCATGATATTTAATATATTGTACCTTTACAATTTGTTTTACAACAGCAATTTGTTTTGAATTTAATTTCATTACATTACATTACATATAAATTTAATATATTTATAACTGAAAAGTATATTTGTGTACATGTTATTGTGTATATGTAATATACATGAAATTTAATGTATTTTTCATAAAAATTTATGAAATTTAATGTACACTCATTCATTATACATTCATTAGTAACTACTGCAACTTAATTTTCAGTTAAATTATTCATTACTTTTAATTTCGTTCATTTATATATAAAGAAAGCTCGTACATGGTTACATTTCTAATAATAGTGATATACACTTAAAAATTTCAGCGTTGTTATTGTCAGCCATTCTTTGTTACATTAAGATTATTAAAAATTCAGTTTTGGTTTTGATATGATCCGTTTGGACTATAATTAATATCAGAGTTTTTCGCTTCTTTTTTCTTTTTCTTTGCAATTAACGTTATAGGTGTATTAAAAGTTATTCATGAATTTCAATATAATTGACACTGATTCGCTCAAAGACTAATTTTTGACTAAACCGATAGAATTTAAATGATGCGATATGATGAATTTTTGTTTTAGTGAGTTACCTTCTATTATTTTACAATAAATCGTTCTTGCCAACAAATTTACCTTTTAATAATTTTAATACATTTTAGATTGTTATTAGAGTTCATTTTTATATATTCCGTTATTATAGTTTCCGTTAATAAGTGGAGATGGCTTATTGAAATAAATTAGTTTGTAAAAAAATTTTTTGTAATTACAATATCATATTGTTTCTGAGGATGGCTCAAAAGTAAGCCGAAACATGTAAGCAGATTAATTATTATTAAAGTTGTTTTGTTAATTGTATTGGTTCGCACATGCGAAAATTACATGCTTGATTCCTATTGCTCTGTTATATTTCAATCATTTTATAAAAATTTCATTATATTTAATATACTTTTAAGTTGCACAACTTGATTTCATGACATTATAATAAATTTGTATTAATAACTGAAAAATATATTTGTGTACATTAAATTTAATGTACTTTTCATGAAAATTTAATGTTCATTATATTTAAGTAGCTACTGTAACTTAATTTTCAGTTAAATCATTCATTACTTTTAATTTCGTTCATAATGAGCTTACATTTATGTACATGTAAAGGAAGCTCGTGGTTACATTTCTAACAGTGCAAATAATTTCATATAATAACGATTGAATTGATAGAACCAATTTCTAATTGGCGGCAAATTTCCAATAAATGCTTTATTATAAGTTTTGAAGATTTAGGATCAATTTCTGATTGGTCAAAAGTGTTTGAATGATTGCGCATCTAAAGGAATGTTACACCTGGTATTCTTATATCATGGTAAAATGTAAATTTCTTAAATTGTTTAAAAATCTGACAAGTTGAAAAATGATAAGTTACACAATGCAACGTATGTATCATGGTCGAATCACCTTGAAGAGTGCGAAGATGGTCTATCCTATCCTATCGACTAAACAACTTATAACTAACGGTGACCATGGCGCCGTGCTCTTGTTTTCAATGATCGGTCACGTCAGTTTTAGCTCGAATTCGCGATCCGCATTTTCATAGATTCTCAGAAAGATTCAATTACAAAACTACTACACTTAATCATGAATGTTTTTAAACTCGGTAATAAAGCATTGGACAACACACACGAGCTCTCGTTCAACTTCCCAGCAGAGGATAATAACAGCCAAACTTCTGTATCGTACGTTATTAATACGAATGCATCTCCTGTATCCGAACACAAGGTAAATTTTACTACAAAACCTTTCTTTTTTATATAATGTTTTAACGCTTCATATTTTTTCTCATATTTTACACAATATAATTACAATACTTGTAACGCCGATTATGCTTTCATATAAATATGAATTTAAAGATTAAAACTTTTTTGTATCTTATTGTTGCTCACGTACTCTAAAAAATGTGGATGGGGATTTAATACCATATGTAATGTTTATATAATTCTTGTTGTATTGATATAAAATAGCAACATGATGGATTTAACATCATGATTTAAAGGACATTCATCCAGAAATATCAAAAAGATGCTTATTTTTATGAATTTTTTTGTGAAACCTATCAACTTTGGACAAACAGGGTTTTGATCAATATTTTACACATTTACACGTATAGTACAATATCACATACAATTTTTAATAAAAATATTAACAAATAGTGCTGGAACAACTGTTGAAGCTTATCTACAGCAATAATAGTTTATGGTAACCGTTGAAACTTTCATACTACAGTTTATCTGAAATAAAACTCAATAAATTTTTTGATAAAAAAACATTAATAAATCTATCTTTGTTGTAGCCAATTTTAAACATTTTCAATTTTGATAAAGTAGACTTCTAAAATTAAAAAGTGCAATTTTTCATTAAAAATTGTTCAGTTTTTATTATAAAAAAATTATAACTTTAAAAAATTCCTACGAAAACTAGATTTATTAATATATTTCAAGAATTTGTTAGATATTTTGTTTGAAATAAATTGTAAAAACTGAGATGGTCACTATTACTGCTATTATAATGTCAAATAGTTGTACCGATATTATTTATTAAAATTTTTAATTAAAAATTTTATACATATAACGCTTATTAATATACATATAAGATATTGACCAAAATTCTGATTGAGTAAAATTAATAATTTTGCACAAAAAGAAACATATAAATAGGCATTTTCTTGATGTTGGTGTTTATATCAACATCAATATAGTGAATATTATATTTGTCATCTGTAGCGTTAAATCCAAGTCCATATTTTTTAGAATACAGAATTATTTACTGTTCATAAAAAAATAAAAAGAAAATAGTCCATTTGTATTGGCAAACAGATAGTCATGGATTGTCCAACAGAATGCAAGGTTTTAAACAACACTGTGAAGACCAAATTTGAATTAAAAAAATGTGAAAATTTATGCGGAAGTGAAAAAACAGAAACAAATAATGTCGATCAAATATTCGATTTGAATCACGAAAATCCGTCTTATTTTAATTCTAGTATAAATGATTGTGATGTTTCCATTTACGAATATTTTGATTGCAACGACAAGATAGTTCAGGAAGAAGATTCCGAAGATATAGAGAAAACAATTCAAAATCAATTTTTGATCACGGATGATCAACATACAAATTCTTTGAACAATTTAACAGAATTTCGAGATAGTCTCAACATTGATTCGGTGCATGAAAAGATATGTCGAGTAAGATATGGGAAAGAAGAATTCATCGATTCGGGAATCTCTACTAATGAATTAATTGCTGAGAATTTTATTAATTCGCAGAATATTCCTGAAAGAAACGGTGTCACTTGTAAAATTATTGAAGAAGACACAAAAAATAAAGAGATGAAGTTTGCACAGAATGTTACATGTATAAATATTGAAGATTCTCTTCAAGAAGAATTAGACATACAAAACTCAGTTTCAGCAATAGAATCTGACAACTATTTTATAAGTAATAACGAGAATTACTTTAAAAATGACATCGATCTCTCGAAATGTATGGAAGAGAACGCGAATCATATGTTAAGTATATGTACCGAAAAAGACCGTATCGAAGAAACGATTACAGAGATAAAGAAAATGGATAAAATAATCAAGAATCTTTTGTACACTAGTGACGATGAGCATTACGATTCGACGGAGGAACGAATGATAGAAGACTTATCTGCGGCGGAGGAACGAATAATAGAAGATTTATCTGCGACGGAGGAACAAATGATAGAAGACTTATCTGCGAAAATGGAAGATGATTGCGATGACGTAATGAAGAAAATTATCGAAAGTTGCTGTCATGCCGCAGATTTTCAGCAACGTTCAACGATATGCGAAATCTCGAGTGCAGATTCCATACAATCAAGTAGCAAACGTGTAATTAAGGAATTTCGAGAAAACGAATTTTTCCCATGTCATCGCGTCGTTTCCGAGACTATCATAGCGAAAGAAGATATATTAAAAACTATTGAGGAAGCAGAGAAAATATTAACTGACAGTCCATATTGGGAAAAGTCAGAGGCAATTGTTAATCAGATAACTGAAAATTCGAACGACAAAAACAATTCGTCGGAAAAATATGCGGAAAAAGTAAGAGATGATAAAGAGCATGAAAGAATAAATGAAACAATAAGTCAAAAAGAAATCGATTTAATTGAGATTAAAGATAACAAGATAAATTCAACAAATACGATTGAAAAGATTGCAGTCTCGAAATCTGACATTGTTGAACATAATTTGCAAAAATTAGCTGAAATTACATGTTCAGATCGTCTTAGATCACGCATTGAGATTCGGGAAACTTTGGAGAAGATAGCAGAAGAAAAGAAGAAAATAGAAAATCGTAAGAATGTATCGCTAGAGACACTATCGAAGAAATTCGAGGAAATTGACAAACTCGTTGCTGATCATAATTATACTTTTTTTGGATCTGATAATGATTCTTATGAATTAAAAACTCCAGAGAATGTCGCCAATGATTTTGACAGTCTCAGCGAGTTTCAGGTTCAGATTGATCCAGAAGTTCCTTTAACGAAGCCCGAAATAGCTGAAAAATTGAAAATCGAAGAATTAGAAAAAGAACTAGAGGATGAAATAAAAGAGCATAAGAAACTTATGGATGAATATCAAAAAATTATTGTAACGGATTTAGAGAAGATTCAATTGACTTTGGAATCGGAATCAATGCAAGTTTACAATGGCACGGATATCGATAAAGAAATAAAAAATAAGTCTAAAGACGACGAAAAAATAAGTGAGGAATTTTCAAATGAAATATTAGAAATGACAGACGATACAATGGTGATTAAAATTGATTCGGAATCCGACGATTTTTTCATGGAAGAGTGGAAGGAACCAGAAAGGACGTTCATTAAAGGAAAAGTCTATGACTTTGACGAAAAAAAGCATGGCGTTAGGTAAGCTCTCGAAATAATAATTTAATTTAATCATTATAATTAACAATTTTTAATAAAATATTAATACTTAATCATTTAATTTAATACTAATAAATAATTATTAATAAATGATTTAATAATAAATAATTATTATTAGATAAATAATTATTATTATTATTAATAGT